TCCCTACCTGCCACAGTTTCAGGGTCCCAGTTGGGTCTGGGCAGAGGAAATCCTTCATCTATTTCATTTGGGAGCATAGTGGGTCTCCCATCCTGCACGGGGACGTTTTTCTGGGCTTCCAGTATGACTCGCTGTCTCTCCTCCGTGGTTAGGAGTGCCTGGAGGAGTTGTTGACAATCCTCCCAGGTGGGTTGGTGGGTAAGAAGAATAGACTCAATTAAAGCTGTTAGGGCCTGAGGATCCTGAGAAAAAGAGGGGTTATGAGTCTTTCAATTATATAAGTCAGAGGCTGAAAAAGGCCAATACTGGATCTGATCCCCTACAGTTTGGAGAGGAAAAACCTGGGCAGTCCAGGATCCATCAGAGGGGCCCCCTCTATCTCTCCTCAGGCGAAGTCTGCTAGATGGTGGCGGGGATTGGTCAGGTTCGGTGGAATCAGGAGAGGGATGAGGTAGTTAGCGATTGACCCATAGTGGAGGTCACAAAAAAGAAGGGGAGAGAGAGAGAGAGAGATACAGATGCCACTCCAAACAATAATGACTAGTGGGTGTGCTTGTGGACGAGTACCTATTGTTGCCCAGTTTTTCTTCTGCGGGGGATGTGAATTTATCTGGGATTCACACCTGGGACCCCCTTATCCTTCCACGGGAGTCTTTTAGCGGCGAGCATCCTGTGGCTTTTATTTGCTCGACCCATGCCCGCGGGGCTTTTTCAGTGGCTGAAGAGAGGAGAAGGAAGTACAGGAAGGCTGTCTCGTCTCCACCCGTGTGGGCAGTCGGGGTCCACTAAGAGGGCTAAGAGCCTTTGGCTTACATCAGGGAGTGGCCCTGACCAGAAAACCTCAGTTGCTCCTTTGCCTTTAGCGGTCCCTCACGAAGACTTGGACCAAGAATAAAAGGAAAAGAGAAAAAGGCAGGGAAGGCTTAAAATAGAGAGCGTAGAGAAAAATACAAAACCAGACCTTCCCCTTTTAAGATATTAACACACCATCAAACACGCACACACACCACATTAAATCACATTTGTATGGACCGGTCCTTCTTACACCCAGAGAGACACTACACTCACCACTTTTACTTTCAGAAGATATTAACACATCATCAGGCACGTACACATACCTCATTAAATCACATTCATGTGGACCGGTCTTTCTTACATCCAGACACACACTTTACTCACTATTTTACTCTCAGGATCCTTAAGCACAAACACAGACAAACACAAAACAAAAATTCTTGCTGCGGCTTCTTGACTCAAAACTGAAAGTACAGACCGGGAGGGGAGTAGCCAAGCTAATCTCCCTTCTTCTCCCGAGGTGAGGACAGCTATGCTGTCCTCCCCATACCAGACCACTCCGGTCACAAAGATCAGAGTGTTGGAACCAGGGGTCCCTGGGCACGTCTGCCACTCCCACTGATTCCCAGAATACAGACTTACAGGTCCTGCACAGGGACAAATATTCAGACAGAACGTTCCCAAAACAAGAAATGACAGACAGACATTAAATCAAGACAAACCACAAGACATCTGTTCTTACCTCCTATTGATCTGAGGAAATGAGTCTGGGGGGACTGAATCCTGGACAAGCCCCCAAATGTTGGACCCCCCAGATTGGGGTACCCAACGTTCACGGGAGGTCGCACCCCAATAACTCAGTCCTCAAATCAGGAGATGCAACAAGCATGAGGATTTATTGGCGTTTTGCAAAACGGACTCCCACCTTACTCGGAGGACAGAAGTCCAGAGCCCAGTTCACAGGTTTCTTTTAAAGCCAAGCGGCGGCTATGTGCCAAGCAGAAAAGCGGCGTTCCAGCTTGGGCAGGGAGCATGAAAAAGGTCAGCTCAGCTTGTTCTTAGCAGTTAGAATTATTTTTCATTTTTACTTCCTTATAGTTTTTCTCAGGCCTGGGGGATTTTAGTTTAAATCCATCATTTTGGAGGGACTTGGGTCCATCATTTGAGGGGGCTTGGGTCCTTCAGTTAGGCACTATGTGAGTACTGGGAACGGAACCTGTGTCCTCTGCAAGAGCAGTCAGTGCTCTTAACCACTGAGCCAGCTCTCCAGTCTGTTTTCTTTTCTTTCCTTCCCCCCCCCGCCCTTTTTTTTTTTTTTAAAGACAGGGTCTCACCACATAGCCTTGGAACTTTCTTATGTAGACCAGGCTGGTCTTGAACTCAGAGATCTGTCTGCCTCTGTCTCCCAAGTGCTGGGATTAAAGGTGCACATCACCATGCCTAGCTTGGTATTTATTTATTTTTTGGTCTTTTTGAGACAGGGTCTCCCTGTAGTCCCTGCTGTCCTGGAACTATGTAGACCAGGCTGGTCTTGAACTCAAGTGATCCACCTACCTCTGCCCCCCGAGTGCTGGGATTAAAGGCGGGTGTTTATTATGTTATTTGTGTTTGGGTGTATTGCCTGCATGTATGTAAGTGCACCCGCATTGTACAATGCCCACAGAGGCCAGAAGAGGGCGTTGGATCCCTTGGAACTGGAATTACAGATGGCTGTCACCATGTGGATACTGGGAACTGAATCTGGGTCCTCTGCAAGAGCAGCCAGTTCTCTTAACCCCTGAACCATCTCTCCAGTCCCTCAGTATTCATTTCTTAACATAGTTATAAAATGTCATGGGATTGGACTTTTGGTCAGATTTGATATAGGACCTTTTGTCTTTTAAAAGATTTATTATTTGGGGCTAGAGATGGCTCATGGGTTAAGAGCACTTGCTCTAGCAGAGGACCTGGGTTTGGTTTCCAGCAGTTACATGGCAGCTAATAACTGCTTGTAACTCCAGTTCCAGGGGATCTGACACTTTCTTCTGGCCTACACACATGTGGTGCATTTGCATACATGCAGGCAAAACACTCTTATACATAAAAGTCTTAAAAATAGGATTTATAGCTAGGCGTGGTGGTGCATGCCTTTAATCCTAGCTACTTGGGAGGCAGAGGCAGGCAGATCTCTGTGAATTTGAGAGAAGCCTGGTCTACATAGCAAGTTCCAGGTCAGCTGGGGCTACAGAGACCATCACAAGACCAAAAAAAACAAAAAAAAAAGGATTTATGTATTGTGTCTGTCTGGGAGTGTGTACACAAGTGCAGGTGCCCACAAAAGCCAGAAGAGGACATTGGATCTCCTGGAGCTGGAGTTACAGGCACTTGTGAGCTGCCTGACATGGGCATGTTGGGAAATGAACTTGGGTCCTAAGAGCAGTGCATACTCTAAGCCACAGCCATCTCTCCAGCCTCCCTTTGTTTGCAGACAGGATCTTAATGCAGCCCAAGATAGCCTTGAATTCCCTACATAGTGGAGGATAACCTTGAACTTCTGATCCTCCTGTCTTCACCTCCCTAGTGTTAGGATTGCAGGCATGCACCACCGTAGGGGATGAAGGAATTGCTAGTCAGTGCGCAGGTCACACTGTCTTGGAGAGACAAACGTGTGTGTACATACACATAGTTAGCACCTGCCGTAGTTTCACCTTAAAAGGAAATGTAAATGCCAGGTGTGGTGACACATGCTTTTAATCCCAGCATTCAGGAGGTGGAGGTGGGGGATGGGTCTCTGAGATCCAGGCAGCTGGATCTACATAGTGAATTCTAGGCCAGCTAGGGGCTACAGGGAGACCCTTAAAAAAAAAAAAAAAAAAAGGAATATAAATTGTGACTCAGTGAAGAAACAGTAGAAGTGTGAGGTAAGGGGTCAGAGCCATCCCCTTAAATGTCCAGCTTTAAAAAGATTTAATTTTTCCAATTTTTTTCCTCATCAGATACCAGGGGAGGGAAGTGCCGATTATCCCTCAAAGTCCGGTGTAGTTGTTTTTTTTCTTTGTGCTTCTCAAAATCTACAGAATGAACGTAGTACAAGACTGGCAAGAACTATGGTGGGGCAGGAACTGAAATACACATCAGAAAGGTCTGTGTGGGGCCAGGTGTGGTGGTGCACACTTTTAATCCAGCACTCAGGAGGCAGGGGGATCTCTGTGAGTTTCAGGCCAGCCTGGTCTAGACAGTGAGACCCTGACTGAAAGAAAAATAAAATCCGTATGCTTGGCACCACACCCTCCTCACACTTTGGACACTACAGGGCAGGGGGGCAGATATTTCCACATTGACCGTCCACCTCAAGGCTACTTGCAAGGTAGCCTTTTGAGTTTTCAACTGGCCACTGTCAACTGTGGGAACAAGTGACCTGGTCATTCCCCACACGCAGAAAGCCAGAGCTATATAGAGAGCAGTGGACAGATGCACCCATGGGTCTTTATGCAAACGCCATTATGAAAAGCACAGACAACTGGTTGTGGTGCTGCAGGCCTGCCATTCTAGTGCTCAGAAGGCAGAAGGATCTTGAGACCAAGATCAGCCTAGGCTAATTACTGCAAGACCCTATCTCAAAAACAAAACAAGAAATCACAAATAGTAGCAATTAGTAAGAAACAGTTTCCCTGCTCAGTTGAGTTGCGACCAGAGCATTCAGGCTTTTCCACACACACCACTCTGTCGAATCTGACTTGAAATCAAAAGTGAAAATTCAGTTGCCCCATCCTTCTTGGTGTGGAGTGGCAGCCTCAAAACTCCTGGGGCCAGGGCTGGGCAGCTCCAGGTAGAGCCCAAGAAGGTGAGGGTCAGCCTCTCCTGGCTAGGCAGGGGTAGGCCCTGGCCTGTGGTCTCAGACCTTGACAAGCACAGCCTGGAGAAGCCCAGCAGGGGATTCTCCCATGCTGCACCAGAGACTGATTCGTGTCTTCTACCAATTTTCTTTTTTGGTCTTTTTGAGACAGGGTCTCCTTGTAGCCCCAGTTGGCCTGGAACTCTCTATGTAGACCAGGCTGGCCTTGAACTCACCTGCCACTACATCTGGTTTCTACCAATTTTCTTGGTGCTAAGGACCGAGACAGGCAAGGATAGGTCCCCACACACCCTCAAATATGACACCCTTTTCCCACCTACTTCTGTAGGCAGAACTGAACAGAAACCAAGCCATGCACTTTATTCCATGAGACATTTCAGTTTTAGTGTTTATTGAAACCCACTGCTGACCAGGCTCTATGCTGGGCTCACAGGACACACCGATATGCCTCACAACAGCCCTGTGAGGTGAGGTCCTCTTGTAGTCTATCCCCAGGCTCCCACCACCACTGGCTCACCCCATTAGCAAGGACAGGATGAGGGAGTGAGTTCAGTTCTTCCAACTTCCATCTTGGTTCAACCATTCTAGAAAATACAAAATCTTTGGTCCCAGTCTAGGAATCTGTTCAAAACTTCTCACTCCCATGTTTTTCCTCCCCCTTTGGCTTTTTGAGACGAGGTCTCACTCTGTAGCTCAAGCTGGCCCCAAGCTCACAGCAATCCTCCAGCATTCGCCTCCTGAGTGCTGAGATTACAGGTGTGCACCACCACACCTGGCTTCAAAATTCTTTGAACTTTGGGAAAAAATATAAAAAGGACCACCAGTGTGGGATTCGGGAGTTAGCAATCCAGTGTGTGTATTCCATCAATTCAGGGCCCTTCTTCAGTTGGCTCTGACATGGCGGTGAGTCCCACTAGTAAGCACCCACTGCAGAGTGGCTTCCCTCTCAGTCAGCAGAGACCAACCCTTTGCTTTTCTCAAGGGAGAACCTGCAGTCTTCCCTCTATGGGCTGCACTGGGCGGGTCTGACGCAGGTCAGTCCAGCCCTGGCAAGATCATAGACTGGAAGGCAGATGGCCTCAGGACACTGGAGGCTGTCTTCCTTGACCAAATTTTCAAGTGAGGAAATGAATTTCCACATCTTTTTAGTCTACTGACTGTGGAAGACGAATGAAACCGGGCAAATAAATGGTATCCCAAAACTACACAGCATGAGTCTATGTTAAGTCACCACACAAGTCACATTTTGCCCCAGAATCTGGTTAGCTCTTTGGTTCTAGGCAACCCTAGCTGAGGGTCCAAGTCTCCTTGGACTTGTCAGCCTCTTCCCATCTGTACGCTCCAGCTTGAGGGGACAGGCAAGCCTTGCTCTGGGAGAGGGGTTGTCCAGCGAAGGCCTTCTTCCAGCAAAGCACCCTCTGTGCCAGACTGCCAGGTAGGGTTCTGCTGGGGTCCAAGGAGTCCAGCACAGCCAGATTTCTAAGGACAGCTTGGTATGCGCAGCTCCATCCCTTTCTCATGAAAAGAAAATGCACTTGGCATGGCTGCTCAGACAGGTTTGTCCGTGGGTACCCCTGTTTAGGGAGGTAGCCTGGGAACAGCAACAAGAGAGGACATCAGTGGGTCTGTCCCGTCACTGGCACCCTCTAGAAATAGTCCACCATGTATACCAGCCTGACCTGAAGTCAGCTACCTATAGTCCTTCCTGTCCACACCCAGAAGCCTGACTAGGCTGGGACGAGTGGGCACTTCTGCACTCATTGTCCTCCACTGCAGAGGCCCTACCCTAGAGCCACGGTGTTCTGTGCCACAAGCTCCAGTTCACGTCCCTGGAACTTGTACTGCTTGGGGTCTCTGCTTGCAATGTAGAGAGTCGAGGCAGGTGAGTTGTTTTAATTCTGCAAAACTGAAAAAGGAGCTGGGCATAGTGGTGCAGGCCTGCCAGTTCTTGGGAGGTTGAGACAGGTGGATTGCTGCAAGTTCCAGACCAGTCTGGGCTGCCAAGTGAGTTCCAGCCAGCCTGGGCTGTAATGTGAGACCCTTCTTCCTTCAATCCCACCAAAAAATCAAGACGATGGAAGATAGGGAGATATCACAACTTGGGACCTTAGCCTCCATCACTCTGATGCACACTTGAAAGACTGATACAGAAAAGGCACATCACCCTGGCGAGGAGTGTCTACTGGCTTCTCTCCTGGGCATCTCACACGTCGCTGCTACTTCTGAGGAGGGAGGAGTCTGGCAGACAGTGAAGCTCTGGACTGGAAGACAACCAAGTCCATCTTAGCATCTTACCTTTGTGTTTTTCTGTGTAGCTACAAACTCTCCTTAAAATACCAAAACCAAGTCACAGTTATGTGATGGTAAGTATAGAGATAGAGCACTTAATGACACAATCACTTTCCCAGATTCTTGGGGTGTCTTGAAGTTCGCCTGTGAGAAAGGCAGGTAGAAAGGTAGAAACCGTTTCTCTCCCTTGCAAGATGCCCATGGGGTGCACTACCAGGGACAAGCCCACTGTGGAGGAAGGGAGTCTCAGAATGATCCAATTTGGAGAGTTTAATTCATAAAATAAAATGGGGGGAAATGGTTTCAGGTGGGGCTGCAGGGCAAGAGGACTCCTGATGGAGGCCACTGTCCACTGGTACCCTGATGGGTCCCAGTCAGGGCACAGCCCTAGGCTGTCCCTGAAGAACCAGCCTCAAAGAACAGCACCACTGCATGCTGCTGCTCTCTCACACCCCTCAATGTAGACGTTAGACCCGAGAACTGCGGTTTGCTGCAGAGTGGCTGCTAGCTCTCCTATACTGGCTTGGTACATCATGCATGCAAAGCGAGGAGACACCATGGACTTCATCAAACAGCTAATTTTGGCAAAGAGGGGGAGGGAAGAGGGAGGGAGGGGGAGAGGAAGGGGGGGAGAGAAAAAGCTAAAATTCATAAGCAGAATTAACCACTAAAGTGAAAATAGTGTATTTTCCCAACAGTTAACTATCACTACAATCTTTTTTGGAAAGTCTCTGCCATCCTCTCCCCTAATTCAGGTCAAAGTTCATAGCAGCAATGCATGAGTCCTCTGCCAGGCCAGCATCCCAGGCCAGAGTTCACAGGTCAGGGTCAGTCAGTCCGGAGAATCATGGGAGGATGCTCGCTGTCTTCGTCCAGGCGCAGGGTGCTAGCTTCATCTTCCAGGCACATACCACCCACTGCACCTAGGTCATCTGTGTAGGCTGCAGAGAGACAAGGGTGTCACCATCAAAAAGCTGTACTGGAGCTGAGGAGACGGCTCAGTGGTTAAGAGCAGTGGCTGCTCTTGTAAAGGACCTGGGTTTGGTTCTCAGCACCCACATGGTGGCTAGCAACTGTCATTCCAGTTCCTGGAGAATCTGATGCCCTCTCTGGTCTCCACAGGCATTGCACAATGCAGATGTACTTACATATATGCAGGTAAAACACTCATATACATAAAAATATATTAAAGAAAATTTTTTAAAAAGCTGGACTAACTATAGATCCAGCAATAGCAAGCTATGTCCAGGAGACTGCGTTTGGTTATGAGCTGTGGTTGCACTCAGACCTTCCAATCTACTGCTCAGGAGAGTTAGGTCTCTGCTGCCTCAGGCAGTACAAGATGAAGCCACTCATTTCCCAGCATACATCTGCACAGCACAAGGCCTACACAGTTAATAGTAGCTACTGAACACACAGCTGTACTCTCTCAACCAAGCAGTCTTTATGGGACTCCAGAAGGCAACATTGCATGTGCAAGCGCACCACCAGTTAGCACATTACACAGCTGACAGGGCTGCTCTACCACATGGGGAATCAGCACAGCCCGCCTTGCAAACAAACCCCTCAGGGTCTGAGAGTCAGCTGTGTGGTGGAGCGAGGGTTATGTCTGAGTGAACTCTGCTGTGTACCTGCTGGAGTCCAGGAGACAGGCCCAAAAGGCCTCTGCCCATACATGGCACAGTCAGCGCACTATGTCTTTGTTGAGAACTCCATGGGTAGAAGCAAAGGCCTGGGATGTACCTGGTAGAGCTCTCCCCAGAGGTGACATACTGAGTGTGACTCTCATGGAGCTAAAGTTACCGGTCATAGTGACTGAATATAAATTCAGTGTCACAGGCCTTGGAAGCACCAGTGTACAAGAGCTGCTTATATAAGAGGATAGTTTCCGTCCTGTGGCTCAGTGGGAGGTGGCAACCCCGGTGCTCACATACTACTAGAACTCAGTACTAGAACTCAGGAGCTGCTACTCAATTACCTTCTAGGTTGGCGTCCTGCCCCTTACCAAGTCTTGTTGGGGATGAGGGCACATAAGCACCTTTGGCTGCTGCTGTGCCATACGTCTGAGTTACTAGGGGGCAGTCATGAGAGGCAGAGTCTACGATCTCATTGGTTGTCTCCATACTGCCATCAAGCCTGGAGACAGAGAATGACAAGGTTAGACTCAGTGTCTAGCGGAGTATGAGCCACTTGGGAGGTTGAGGCAGGATGATTCCCATGAGTTGGAGGTCAGCCTGGGCTAGAGAGAAAGACCTAGTCTCAAAACAAGTGTTTGTACAAGGACAATTGGACATGGTTACAGCTTGAACATAAGGTGCCAGCCCTGCAGTGAAAGGTGACAAAAGTCTGTGGCTCACCCCAGGACACCAAACATGGCTTAGGACATTTTGCTGACCAAGTTCTCTGGAGTTGTTATAAGATTAATCTTTTTTTGGAGACAGAGACTCACCATGTAGCCCTGACTTTGTAAACCCTAACTTCACCCTGAGCAAGGGTCTGCTGGGTGCCCTGTCTGCAAGCACAAGCCATCCCAGTCTGGGTACTTCTCCCCAGCCCCGAGGTGGGATGCAGTCAGGGGTGGGATGGAAGAAGGCGCTGGGTACCAGCAGAATGAACTTGATAGGGAAGCAAAGCTTGCCAGTGGCACAGGGCAACACACAAGCCTCAAGGGAATGAATGTACAGACCCACCACAGCGCTCACAGCCTCAGGCTGCCATGGAGAACTGCCTCACCTGTGCTGGCGCATCAGCGCACACTCGCCTCCTTCCTGAGGGTCCAGGTTGTACATGTACAAATAGCCATCTGATGCTCCCACCAGCAACCGTGGGATCTTCTGAATTCTAGAGAAGAAAAAGCTTTACTTTAGAAGCAAGACATCCATAAAAGTTACCTTACTAGACTACTATCTCAGTTGGGCTGTGGAGAAACCAGCAAAGCCAGGACATGCTGAGCATCCTGAGCACATCCTGAGCTGGGTATGAAGTCTGCACAGAGGAAGACTGCCTGTGGCTCCTGGAAGAAGCTGGCAAGGCCGAGGATGTCCTGGGTGCAAGCACATGCTGAATCCCACCACAGGGTGGCTCTCAGTTTCTCCATGTGTGTCACTGGGTGCATACTTACCACAAGCATGGGGGAAGCCAGAGGAGGACACCAGGTGTCCTGCTCTGTTATTCTCAGCTTTGTTTCCTTGAGACAGGGATCTCTCACTGAACCTGGATCTAGGCTGGTGGCCAGTAAACCCCAACTACCCTCTGTCTCTGCTCCCATGGGGCTGGGTTACGGGTACATGTGCAGCCAAGCATGGCTTTTTGTGTGGGTGCTGCGGATGGGGCTCAGGATCTTAGGTATATGCAGCAAGAACTCTGACCCACTCCATGGGTGGGTATTTTCATAGATCTTTTCAACTATGCTTGGGCTCATTTTAGCAGCACATACATGAAAACAGCATAAGGAATTTCTAGAGTCATAGAACTCTGCTGTCACTGATCTTGACAGACAAGTTTTTTCCATAGAGCTCTGTTACAGACAATTTCTGCTGGCACAAGCAGGGATATACTTTAGTTCTCAAGCCAGGTCTGTCTCCCGCCCCTCACCTATGATGCTGTGGCTAAGCAGTGGCCATTTCCTGTCTGATTAATGTTTCCCATCAATACAGAAAGAGGGAGGTTCTGAGGGAAGAATGCCACATAGAAGGCACCCAGGTCTTTGGCCTGTAGGTCTGCCCATTCTAGGAAATCCTTGATGGAATTCAGGCATGGATAGACCAGGCAGGGTCACACACAGTTCTGCAGCCTAGTATCCAGCACCTGGACTCTGCTCCCTTGCCTGGATGTGCACAGGGCAGAGGGTGGGGTGGCAGGCTCAGTCTGCACTCACGTGGCTAAGGAGCAGATGTTCTTGTGACCACAAAAAGGCAGGCGGACGGTGGCAAAGGCCCTGCCCTGGTTGAACATTTCTGTCACTTGTGAGGGCAGGTAGTTGGTCGATGCCATAAGTACCTTCCCAAAGTAGCCGGTCCAGGTGGTAGGCTCCTCAGGAGGCCTGGAAAGGAGCATCAGAAGACATGTGAGGCTGGGTGCTCAAAGAATTACAGCCAGCTCTGGATCACTGAGCAGCAATCCACACCACATGGGAAGGCGGAGGAAAGCAGTGCCCTGTGGGTACTCTGTCAGAATGAGGAACCATGCCCTCCCCAGTGACTGTGTACCACAAGAGCACATAGTAAGGAACCTGCTCCATTGCAGGAGTCTCTAAAATCTTTCTGTGTACATTTCAAATTAGTCTCCTATGGAGACATCTTTTTCACATTTCTTTAATTACTTAGTGTGTGTACATGCACATGGGTGGAGGTCGGTTTTCTCCTTCCACCACATAGATCCTAGGGATGGAACTCAGGTTACCTGTTACGTTTGGCATAAGTGCCTTTCCCTACTGTTCATCCTTTGCATGTTTTAACGTTAGAGACTCTTAGTCAGGACAGAAGCCTTTATCAACACTAGCCCCAGTATTAACTTTAAGGAGGGAAAAGAAGCCTCTACCAGACATTCCTGCAGTGGCTCCGAAATTAAGATGAAAGTCATTCACCTCCCTGCTGACCTATGAGCAGGTTAAAGATGTGGTATTCATTCCACTGGCTGCCTGATTCTAACAGCCCCTGCTACAGGAGCATGGAGTGGGGACACTCTGGTACTGACCAGAAGACACCCTGGGGACCCTGAGAGTTGGTCTCACACTTTAGCATACCCTTCCTGTCAGCACATCCTAAAAATGGGACAACCTGTCTCATGATGGATCTATACTTAGCACATCCCTCTACCAGTCCAAGGTTCAGAAATGCTGCTGCAGAGCAGGGGGGCTCTGTGCTGTGCCTTTCTGGGTGGTCGGGGGGGGGTCTGTCTGTCTATCTCTCTATTTTAAATTATTCTTTAATAAATTTACTTAAAATCGAGAGAGAGAGAGAGAGAGAGAGAGAGAGAGAGAGAGAGAGAGACACGCATGTGCATGTGCCACAGCTCACCATGTGGAAGTCAGAAAAAACATGCAAGAGTCGGTTCTCTCCTTTCACCATGCTGAGACCCCAGGATTGAACTCAGGACATCAGGCTTGGTGGCAAGCACCTTTACCTAATGAGCCATCTTGCCAGCCCTTATATATTTGTTGAAAGTTGGGCCCACCAGGCGTGGTAGTGCATGCCAGTAGTCCCAGCACTTGGGAGGCAGAAGCAGGCGGATCTCTGTGAGTTCGAGGCCAGCCTGGTCTACACAGCGAGTTCCAGGCCAGCTGGGGCTACAGGGAGACCCCATTTCAAAAAGACAAAAAAAAAAAAAAAAAAAAAAAGTTGGGACCAGCTAGCTTGGTTGCAGAATACCCTTATAACATGCACAAGGCCCTAGGTTTGATCTCCAGTACCCAAACACACCATGTTAGAAAAACGTGTCTGTGACTCACTTTTCCCTCACAGCCTCGAGTTTGAAGATGTGCACAGTCTCGGTGTTGCTGGACGCGGACAGGAACATGCCATCCATGCTGAAGGCCAGTGAGCATATGCTCACACACCTGGGGACAGGAGGTGTGAGAGGGGCCCAGGGACCCTTCCCCAGGGGTTCCTTACTATGGTCACAGTCCTGTCACAGGCACACTTGGCCCCACTAGAGCCTTCCTGTTCCTCTGTCCACCCTTTCAGAAACTCTCTGGATAAAGGAATCTGCCTGAGATAAGATCAGAAAGAACAATTCTTCGGTTTATTTTCTGAGACAGCATATGGCTATGTCAATCTGGCTAGCTTGGAACTTGATATGCAGGCCAGCCTGGTTTTGAACTTAACAATCAATTTCCTGCTTCTGCCTGTTGAGTGCTCAGTTTAAAAGTATTAATGAATAATTCTTGAACAAGTCCTTAACCTGTTTTCTCTGATTAGAAAAAACAACAATAACAAAGGAATCAAGACTATATGACTGTTTTTAGGTGGGTTAGGATGGAATTGCAGCACTCAGGTTGGTAAATGCTGGCCCCTGACCAGAGGGACAGTCCATTGGCAGCCCTGGGGATATTTTAGAGGAATCCTTTCAATCATATCTCCCAGGTCACTAAAGAACCTAAATACAAAGGAATCCCTTTAAATCTTACAGGTAGGTCAGTGCCTCCAACATAAGTTTCCAATGTCCCCAGACTCTTGGACTATACCAAGGTGAAGACTATGAAGGATGAGAGTTGGCACATTCTGGCCTGGTGTCTAAGAGCCCGTCAATGGGCAGGGGAGCCAGGTCCACCTCAGGAGAGCTGTGCCCGGCACTCAATCTCAACTTGGCAGCATAAACAGATGATTTGATTTAGGAAGGGTGTAGGGTTTATAATGAAGGGGCAGAGAGGCTCCTGGCAGACACTGGACACTAGGCAGGAGCCCAGGGAGAAGCATCTAGAAAGGTGTGATGTAAGGAGACCCTGATTCAGTCCCTGAAGGACGACAGTGGCACTTAGGCTTTGACATCTTGTTTCCTTAGTGTTCTGAGACAGTCTTACTATCCAGCCCAGGCTGGCTGAGCTCTCTAGGCAACCTTCCTTCCTCAGTCCCCCAAGTGTTGGCCACCATTCCTGGGGACAGACACACACATGTGCTCTATTTCTGGAGACACCTCAATAAGTAGAGAGAGGTGACAACAGACAGCGGCAGGTCCATTAGGGATGGGGGATGGAGGACAAGCACCCTAAACACTTCCCAGCATTCAATGTGCAGCCCTGGGAGGCAGTTGCCCCTATTCCATTTCCACTGGAGGGGAGGAAGGTAAGACCCAGAGCCTCAGGGATGCACTGCCTGTGCCAGTCACAGCGGTGGCCTAGGGACCTGTGCCAGGGTAGTGGGTGCCATAGCCCGGTCCTTTCACACTGTGTTCCAGCAGCAAGGAAGGCAAGGGGAGCTGGGTGGGACCTCTAGGGGCAGAGGAGGCCAAAAGCAGGAGGAACCCACTGGGTGATGCTGCTGCCCTGCACCCTGGACCTCTGGGTACCATCTCCCCTCACGCACAGCCTTTCCAGCCTCCCTCTTGTCCAGGAAGGATCACATTCACAGAAATCCTTATCCTGCCTTCTGAGCTGATTCCAGCAGAAAGGTGAACTGTAGTACACATTACGGGGAGTTCCTGAGTCCTCCTCAAGCTTCCTCATCATATCACAGATACCAAAAACCAAAATCCAGATGGAACCCCCCAGGCAACCTGAGGCATTTTACCTCTTCACACCTCGCCGGAACTCAAAGAGTTTTTGTCCCTCTGGAATGGAAAATACCCTAATCACGGTCCCCTGAGACAGGGAAGGAGGGAGGGAGGGAAGGGAGGAGGGGGGAGAGGGAGAGAGAGGGAGAGAGAGGGAGAGAGAGGGAGAGAGAGAGAAACAGAATTTTAGCCAAGTGAACGTAGACTTTTCTGTTACCTTCACACAACATACAAATGAGTGAGCATGTGGCCCATTTTCAGGGGCAGCTCCATCTGGGCCAAAGGGAGCCCTGGCCTCTTCTAGTCACCCCAATTCTGGGGCAGACCACACCACTGGGAGGTAAGGCCTAGAGGAAGTTAGTGCAGTCACTAGGGTATGCTGTTATGGATATGGGCACCTTCCTCCTGTTCTTCTTCCTGACTACCGTGAGGTGAGCAGCTCTGTTCTGCCATGTGCTCCCTGCTAAGTCACAGGCCTATAGAGTGGAGTCAGCTGACCACTGACAGAACATGAAACCATGATCAGAAGCCATCTGTCCTGGGGTAGGGAGGCTGTTCACCTGGGACACTATCCCAGGGTAGAAAGCTAACAGTATGTCTAACTCACTCCATGGCAGCTCCACACAGCCTGGCTCCTTCTGCTTCTTTGTGTACTGGGCAACATGAAAACCTGCCTGGTACCTTGGAATATTAACAGAATTAGGAAAGTCTGTGGAGACCACTGACCCCCCCGCCCCCCCGCTCTTTCCTGGGCCCCAACAGACATACCTTCTCAGAAGCAGTGGCAAGCTTGGTCCCGCTTGCATCAAAAGCCAGTGCTGCTAAGGGACTGTCGTGAGCTGGGATCATGTTTGCAGCTCTCTGCAAAGGGAGAAACAGTCAAACATGACTGCCACACAGTGGAGGCTTGTCCCTGTGCTACCACTCAGCCACCAGGTGGTGAGGACCATGGCTGTCACTGAACACCATCACGGTCAACACCAAGAGTAAATTCACCAGGCTGGGGCCCCTGTTCAGACTTCACAAAGAGCAAACCAGTTAATTCACAGTTTACTAGAATTCTGAGAAGTGCTTCCTTGGAGCACAAAACTGTGGGGATGGTGATGGGCACAGATGCAGGTCTGCGCAGACTTGCTTTGCTATTGAGAGAGAAGGGCAGGGAAAGCTGTACTTGTTGAGTCAAGGACATGAGGACATCAAAGATGCTACTGTATGCCTTTCTAGCAAAAACACATCTTTTTTTGTTTTGGTTGAGACAGGGTCTCCCTGCAGCCCCACCCGTTCTGGAACTTGCTATGTAGATTAGGCTGACTTCAATCTCACAGAGATCTACCTGTCTCTGCCTCCTGAGTGTTGCAAATAAAGGCGTGCTCGACCACGCCCTACAAAAAGACACACCTTAGAGTGCCACTCACGAACATAAGGACCTCACCAAGTTAATGGTGTCGAAGACCTGCACCTCTCCGATGGTCGCACTCCCTGGATACGCCAAGTAGCAGTTGTCATTGTTTATCGACAGTGCACACAAGCCTGGAAAAACAATGACACCTAAGGCACACCCAGTCCAGGAGGCCTGCCTTCTGGCTGTTAGAGGAGTTAGCATTTACTTAGCTATTAACAAGAAATAAAAAAAATGCCTGATAAGCCTTCATTACTTTTCTTTAAAGTTCTGCACCCCTAGGCTACCATCTTGGGTGATGCCAGTACCACAATGAAAGCCTGTGGTTTGAAATGATCAATAAAGCTGGTCTGAAAGCTGATCCAACCAATGAGCTTACACGGTCACAAGACTGGCCCAGAGGGAGGGCAGGCTGGGAGGGAGGTGGCTCAGCAGGATGGTCGCTCAGGTTCCTATCACCATGTTTCATATCACAGAGAGGAAACTTACCTGTGGTTATCTTTAGTACATTAATTTTGGCGTGTGTGCCATGGCAAGTGCACAAAGGCCAGAGGGACCCCTTGCAGGAGTCAGTTCTCTCCTTCTACAATGGATTCCAAGGGTCCCAACTAGGTCATCAGGCACTGCAAACAAGCACCTTTACCTGCTGAGCAATCTTGCCAGGCTGATCCTCCTCCTACCAATGGCTTACCCGCAGGGTTAGGGGGTGTCTCCCGGATGGTGTGCAGTACCTTCATGTCCCGGATGTTGTGTATATAGAGTGATTCTTCCAGACATACAATGAGCCTCTAGTACAGTGAGAACAAACAAGACCGAGCATGAAGAAGGGCCTAGGACAATACCCTATCCTCCCTGAGCTTCCTCCTCGGTCCTCACTGAACCACTCCGGGAGTAGGACGTTCTCCATTGCTAGGATAATAGCAGACTGCTGTGCAAGGCTCAGGAGTGTGCAGTTGGCTTTCCACTGCCAATCAGGCTCTACAGTCCGTCCCTAAGCTCCCATGACTACACATGCCATGTATAGGAGTTCTAGCTAGGTGACTTAATTCAGCACCACCTGCTGCTGCACCAGAGCTGTACAAAGGGCTGGCTAAGCTCTGTAAAAGCAAACTGCTTTAGAAAAACAGGGTGAGAGCAAGGCATGGTGGCACACACCTTTAGTCCCAGCGCTTAGGAGGCAGAGGCAGGCAGATCTCTGTGAGTTCCAGCCCAGCCTTCTCTAAATAGCAAGTTCCAGGCCAGCTGGGGCTACAAGGAGACCCCGTCTTGTCTCAAACAAACACATAAAACCCTAAAACCAAACAAAACCAACCATGCACGCATGCAACATACACACAGAAAACCCTACAGTGGAGGCTGGGGAAACGGCTCTGGATAAAGGGCTTACTGTGTGAGGACTGGAGTTCAGATCCCCAGAGCACACATAAAAAAGCAGATGCAAGATGGAAGATTGAAGACAGAAGAATTCCCTGGAAGCTCATGGGCAAGCTAGCCTGCGTACACAGGGGCAAACAAGACACCCTGCCAGGAGAAGATGGCAAATCTGAGACCTTGCTCCAAAAAAAAGTGAAAAAGGACTGAAGATGAAGCTTAGCAGTTAGGTACCAGCCTAGCGCATGTGAGGCCCTGGCTTCCATTCCTAGGACTGCAAAAAAACCCAAAAAAATAACCCCAAACCTATGCTGAATGAGGCAGGAAAAACCTCAAAGCTCTGGGACTTGGGAAAGTGTAGTTTTCCTGTGCATACAGGCGATGTTGCTGTAAAGTCTTACTCATCTTAAAGAAAGGACACATGGGCTCCTAGCTGGGGATGATTTCTGCGAAGAAAGCTTGGCACACGCACTATACACTAGCTGTACTTGTTCAGACACAGCCTGTCCACGGACTGCACACACAGCTACACACAGAAAATCCTGGAGGCTCTCCGGCAGCAGCTGCTTATGTATAAGCCATGGTCAGCCAGGTGACTGTCAGGGAATGCAATGAGAGGCTTTGCACCAAGCTGGGGCCAGATGGACTTGTTGGTTTTGGGGAAAATACAAGTCAAAATAACAACCAAAAGAGGGAATTAAAATATTTTTTTAAAAAATTATTTTTATTTTATGTGTATGAGTGTATTTCCTGGGTGTTTGTGAGTGCACCCATGTCGTGCAATGCCTCGGAGGTCAGAAGAGGGCTTCGGATCCCCCTGGAACTGGAGTTAAGGATGGTTCACAGCCACTATGTGGGTGCTGGGAATCGAACCTGCATCCTCTGCAAGAGCAGTCAGTGCTCTTAACCGCTGAGCCATCTCTCTAGGCCCAGAATTAAGAGATTTTTAAAAGTAACATATACAAAGGCAAAAGACAGTACTAAGTGAAAAGCTCCAACCATCTCTCACAAGCATGCAGACGGACAGAAACCTGATGGTATGTCTGGTTTTGAGAATACAAGTGGGATGGGCAGGCAGGGACGAGGCCAGGGTTATGCATGGGACCATCTGAGCACAGCTTGGGATGAGAACAGAGCTGTCAGTTTGGCTGCGTGAAGGGGCGTGAGAACCAGACAGTGCACAGTCCAGACACTGAGGGTGTGAGGCATGGTAGGAGCACTGAGTGACAGAACACACTTGGTCTTGTGGTGTGTGAGATCCAGGTATGTGTGCAGAGGTCAGAGGAGGACATCAGTATCCTGCTCTATCATGTTCTACTTCATTCCCTTGAGACGGGGTCTCTCACCAACCCTAGAGCTAGGCTGGTGGCCAGCATGCCACAGCAACCATGCCTCTGCCCCCTCAGCGCTGGGGATACTGGTTCTCATGGCCACACCTGGCTTTTTATGTGGGTACCAGGGATTCAAACTCAGGTCCTTATTCTGTGTAGTAAGCATTCTTATCCACCGAGCAATCGCCCCAGCACCCCCTTTTTTGTTTTGGAGACAGTCTCTCAATGTAGCCTAGGCTGGCCTTGAACTCAGGATGACCTTGAACCTCTCATCCTCTTGTCTCTACCTCCCAAGAACTTAGGTTACAGGTGCACACCACCACGCCTGATTTGAGGCTGTGCTTGGGATGGAATCCAGGAGTCTGCATGCTGGGCAAGTTACTCTACCAACTGAGCCATTTGCAGCCCAGGGGCCACTCACCTGCCTGTTGAGCTTCACGGCCAGTATGGTGTTGGAGTAGCTATAGTTGCAGATCTCGGTTCCCTTCTTAAAGTGGCAAACCTTCAGCTTCCTGGGAGCTTTGAGGCTCACGATGGCCACTAAGCTGCTTGAGAACAGCCTTTCCACAATGCACACATCTTCAGTATCGGCTGGAATCAGAAGAAAACACAAAACTGTGTGTGCATGCACACCTACAGTCAAGGCAGTGACCTGTCCACAGACACCTGACACAGAGAAGGGAGCACCACAGCACCTACAGGGGCCAACATGTCCCTGACCATCACAGGATGGAAGGGGAGGGAAATCCTCATCTAGACTTTGCTGTGCTGCCACTATAAATAGAGATCACATCCCCTGTGCAAACGCAGATGCCAAATTACAGAATCATGCAGAAGGGCTCCTTTAAATAAGTTTTGCTGCTGGGATTAGATGGCATGGCTTCAAATACACTTTCAGTTTACATTATTTATTTTGTGTGTGTGCATCACAGCCTATGTGTGGAGGTCAGAGGAAAACCAGTATAAGTCCTTCTACCACGTGGGTCCTAGGGACTGAACACAGGTTGGCAGGCTTTGAGGCAAGTACCTTACCTGCTGATCCACCTCACCAGTCTACACTTCTTAGTTTAGGAAAATCAAACAATAACATCAAAGAGTAAGATGCAAGCCCCCAGGCTAAGGCCCAAGCTACAGCTGCTCACCAGCTTACAATGAGTCAGTTTGCCATTTTTCACCTTTGATCCCAGCACTCGAGAGGCAGAGGCAGGCAGATCTCTGTGAGTTCAAGACCAGCTTTGTCTACATAGTGAGTTCCAGGACAGCTGGGACTACAAGGGAGACCCTGTCTCAAAAGGACAAAAAAAAAAAAAAAAGAAGGTTAAGTAGTGCTGGGGAGATGGGAGGAGGACCTGAGTTCAAGTCCCAGCACCCATGTAAAAAGCAGGACATGGTACTCTATGTCTGGTATTCTAGCAGTGGGGATAGACATCAGAATCTCTGGAGCCCACTGGCCAGCTAGTCTTACTGAATTGGCCAGCTCCAGGTTCAGTGATCATGTCTCAAACACATGAGGAGGAGGATGATAAACACACCTGATGTTGATTTCTAGCCTCACCACACATACCTACATTCACACAAAAACATGCACAGATACATGGCCCCTACTCCCACCAAGCAAGCCAGCTTCAGTGGTACTAGCACTTGGGAGGCTCCCTATTGTCAAGGCCATACTGTTAGACATAGTAAGTACAAGGCCAACTAGGGCTACCTAGCTAGAACCTGTCTCAAAAAAACAAAAGATCCTCCTTCTGGCTCTGCTGTTGGTGGTAGTGAGGCGGAGTGCTGATAATGTGATAGTGAAGGAAAAGCTGGACTTACAGCTGTGGTAATTCTAGAGCTGGTACATGTTATAGGAAAGCCTGGACTACATAAAACTGATTCTGGGTGAGTGTGTATATGTGCATTCTTGTGGGTGTAGGTATATGTGTGGGCACAGAACTCATGGGGAGGTAAGAGGGCAGCCCTGGGTTCTGGTTGTCCTAAGTCTTCCACCTTTTTGTTTGAGACAGAGTTTCTCATTGGTCTGGAATGTAGGCCAGGCTGGCCCATGATCTTCCAGGGATTCTCCTTTCCTTGGATTCCATCTCCCTGGCTGAAATTACAGGTATATACCAGTGTACCTGATGTTTTACATGGCTTCAGGTCCTCTCAGGCAAGTGCTTTACTGACTCAGTCATTTCCATAGCACAAAACTGATTTTTTTTAGTCTTTTTGAGACAGGGTCTCCCTGTAGCTCCAGCTGTCCTGGAACTCACTGTGTAGACCAGGCTGGCTTCCAACTCACAAAGAGCCGCCTGCCTCTGCCCCCTGAGTGCTGGGATTAAAGGCGTGTGCCACCATGCCAGGCAAAACTGATTAAAAATTTTATTTATTATTTTTATTTTATGTATATGAGTATATTGCCTGCATATAAGTGAGTGCACTCATGTCATACAATGCCTCGGAGGTCAGAAGAGGGCTTTGGATTCCCCTGGAACTGGAGTTAAGAACGGTTTGTAGCCACCATGTGGGTGCTGGGACTCGAACCCAGGTCCTCTGCAAGAGCAGTCAATGCTCTTAACTGCTGAGCCATCTCTCCAGGCCCATTTTTTTTTTTTAAACTAAAAATTTTTTAAATTGTGGGGCAGAGAAGGGGGTGGAGGTCACAGGACAACCCTTGGGAACCAGTCCTCTCCTTCCAAGCATGTGGATCCTAGAATCAAACTCAAGTCATCAGGCTTGGCGGCAAGTGCCTTTACCACTGAGCCATCTCATAGGCTCTGATTTGTTTTTTTTCACTTTAAATAAATTTTACCTAAATCCTCTGGTCCCTTTAATTAAACTGTTGAGCTTGCCTTTTTAAATACAGTCAAGTGCAGCCTATCACAGGCTAATGTTTTCTTGGAACCCCAGCTGAGCTCTCCTGGGGACTTTATAGCCATCCATTGACAGAGTGGTGAAAAAAATTCGAGTCCTCTGTGCACAGTTCCCAGCTGAGGGCTGACATGTAAAGACACAAGGGACTGGAGAAGGACCTGCAGAAGGCCTGTTGTGGCAAAGCAGAGATTATGGCCAGCAGGGGGAGGACCATGAATTCAAATGTGATCTTTCTTTTTTAAAGATTTTATTTTTATGTTTTAATTATGTCTGTGTGTGTTTGTGTATGTTTGTATGAGTGCAGCTGCCAGGACAGTACTAGATCCCCTAGAGCTGGAGTTACTGACAATTGTGGGCTATCCTATGTGGGTGCTGGGAACGGAACACCTGTAGTCCCAGCACTTGGGAGGCGGAGGCAGAGGCAGATGGATCTCTGTGAGTTCAAGGCCAGCCTGGTCTACATAGTGAGTTCCAGGAGGACAGCTGGGGCTACAGGGAGACCCTGTCTCAAAAAGACTGAAAAAAAAAAAAAAAAGAAGAAGAACTAAGCCAAGGAATCTGGTGGTACAGCTCAGTCAGGAGCGTGCTTCCCTAGCATGCACAAGGCCAGGAGTTCTACTCTCAGCACCACATAAACGGGGTGGGGTGACACACAACTACAGAAGTGGAGGCGGCAGCATCAGAAATCCAAGGTCATCCTCAGCTACAAAGTGATTTTGAGGCTAGCCTGGGCTATAAGAGACCTGTCTCAATACAAAACCAAAGTCCCAAGCAACAAGAACATACTCTTAGAAACCCAGGAATAGGAAGAAAAATCTTTAACTGATTTTCATGTGCTGAAAAATCCATAGCTAATTCTCAATGGTAGAGATCTGCATTCTGTCCTTGGAGCCAGATTCAGGCATGAAGACTACACCATTCCGCTGGAGTATCTAGCTCACCACAACTCAAGAAGGAAGTCATTAACATGCTATCTTCAGTCTATGAAGCAACTACTAGAGTACATGGATTTAATAAGTACTAGGGTATAAGTCAAAACCACAGATGCATAAAGCTGGGGTGCCCACCAGGAGTGCCAGCACTCAGGAGTGAAGGCTGGAGGACCATGAGTTCCAGGGCAGTCTGGGCTACATATCAAGACCCTATCTCAAGAAAAAAGGTTGGCAGGCTATAGCGATAGCTCCCCAGGGTAAGGCACCTGTTGCCAAGCCTCATTACTAAGTTTGAGCCCCGGAGTCTAAACGGTAGAATGCGAGAACCAATACCCAGAATTGTTCAGTGATAACCATGCCCACATACACACAACATAAAAAAATGTAATTTAAAATTTTCACTTGTACAAGAAGCCATATAATTCACTGGTAATTTTATTTATTATCATTGTGTGTGTGTGTGTGTGTGTGTGTGTGTGTGTGTGTATGGAGGTACATTCCTACCATGGCACATGTGTGGAGGTCAGAGACAACCTCGGTGACGGTTTTTTCCTTCCATCCTTACATGGGTTCTGGGGATCAAATGCAGGTCATCAGGCCTGTGCAGCAAGGGCTTTTACCTACTGAGCCCTTGTGCTGGATAGCTTTAGTGTCAACTTGACACACTTGGGTTGAGGGAGCCTCAATTAGGGAATTGCCTTCACTGGACTGGCCTGTGGCCATGTCCGTGAGGCATCTTCTTGATTGTTGAGTGATGTGGGAGGGCCCAGCTCACTGTGAGTGGCACCACCCCTGGGCAGGTGGGCCTGTGTTGTGTAAGAAAGCAGGCTGAGCAGGGGCCAGGGGAACAAGCCAGTAAGCCTCATTCCTCCATGGCCTGTACTCCAGCTCCTGCTTCCAGATTCCTGCCCTGAGTTCCCACCTTGGGCTCTGTGATGAACTATGACCCGGGAGATGTAAGCTGAATAAACCCTTTCCTCCCCAGGTTGGTATTGGAGTATTTTGTCACAGCAATGGAGAAACAAACTAGGACAGCCCTCTTTTAGGATTTTGTTTGTTTGCTTTGGGCCAGGGTCTTATACTACAGCCCTGGCTGGCTTGGTACTATGCAGTTCAGGTTGGCCTCAAACTCGTGGTAGCCTCCCAAGTGCTGGGAATAGACACATGAGGCACAACCCTTAGCTTGTTCCAGGTTTGGGCAAGGGGAGTGGAAGCAGGAAGGCAATTTGTAACTGCTTTTTCTTTTTCTTTGTTTTGAGACAGGCCTTGCTATGTAGCACCGGCTGGCCTGGAACTCATCAAGAAGACCAAGGTGTCCTCCAACTAGTAGCAATCCTCCTGCTTCTGTCTCCTGAGTGTGAGATTAAAGGCTCGTGCCCCAATGCCTGGCTTTATCTGTAAATACTCACAAAGGTGCAATGTCCTGATCCTTTAGGTGGACTTAACAGACTTCTGCCACTTAGCAATAAGGACTTTTTTCTTTTCTTTCCCTGTGATATTAGGATTTGAACCCACGGTCTCATGCATGCAAGGTGAGCTCTCTACCACACGCACTACATCCCCTGCCCCTCAAGTGTATTTTTATTTCCAGCAGTCTCAAAAGCTCATCCTGACACGTGCCCCTAAATACTTCAGTAAGCCCCTCTACGTGAATATGAGAAAAGTATCTTCCAGAGACATGGAATGAAGCAGACTTCTCCCATCAGAGAAACTTCAGGTGTACCACACACTTAGTATGACAAAGAATCAAAACATGGAAAATATCTTACTATAGGAGAAATGTTTAAATATACAAAGACTTCA